TTAATGAGGTCAAACAAGCTCTGTTGCTAAGGGCAGTCATCAGGATCTCACAAATATTCTCCATCTAGTGAGCTTTCTGCTGCCATGGTAGTCATTGTAATGAGATTAGTCCTACTAAATATTTCCTTAAATAGGAACGTGATATTTATAGCAGCTCAGCTGGACTTTAGTGGTAGACTAGTTCAATGACTACATTTTACACATGAGAAAGCTGACACATGAGACGGGGTAAAGCCTTGGGTCTGGGATTCTCCCATGTCCTTTCCCTATGCCAATCTTGGGAACTGGCAGAGACAAATAATTCTCTGAGCTCTTACGGGAAACTGGTAGAGAATTAGTGTTTCCATGGAAGAATTAGACTTTTATACAAATGCCTCTAACCTCCACAGAGGAAGACAAAAAGATCGATTTTATTTCTTGCTTTATCAATTATAAAAATGAAACAGCAGCTCACCCCTTCAGGTTGTGTTTGTGTGTGTGTGTGTGTGTGTGTGCATGCATGCGTGCACGCATGGAGATCCATTTTCTTCTAGCCTGTGTAATACTTAATAGGAAGAACAATCAACCTTCTTTCTCTCCTTCTGTCACCTGAGCAGTATTGTATCACAGAAACTAGGATAACAGCCCCAGGTGTGTAGGGAGAATGGGCCGTCACTCACAGCAAGTAGCAATTATACCATGTGGGGAAAATGCTGGAGCATTTGGGCCACATCTTACAGAATATTTTTGAAAGCCTATAGATTTTGCCAAGATGAAAAGGAGTAGCAAGAAGACTTTGAAACTGAAGCAAAAAGTTAAAATATTTTGTCTATGAGTTGGCCAAGAATATGATTTTTTCACCCTTCTGAATTTGGCTGATTGCTAAGCGAGCAGTTCAAAAGAAGAAAAAGGAAATGAGGCTCTCAAGAGATACGCAGAAAAATAGGGAAAGTCTCTAAATACAGCGGTGCCAAAGAGGGTGACTAGAGAAAACATCACACCTTTATTAGGTACAAAACCAAGGCTAATATTAGATGGCACCGAAAAGACGAATGATTTCAACGAGCTTTTTCAGATGCTCAGTCTTTGCAGAGGCAGCTAAGGGGAAATCTGTCATCAGCACAAGGTTAGTAGAAGCTCTCTGCCATGGTGGATCATCACACACACAGGGCCGCTGTCTCTCGCCCAGATGAGTAATGGACCACAGCAGGTCGTACAGACCAGCCCTTGATGCTCAGGACCATCTGCTTCTGCCAGGGTCAGTCGGCTTCTCCCTATACTATCTAAAAACCCCTTAATTGGATATTCCAAAATCAAGCTAAAATATGGCAAGACAGAGAGAAAGAACTGAAAGTGGAGGGCAGCAAAAAAACAGGGGTATCATTTTTTAAGAAAAAAGAACGTTGAACAGGAAGTCAGGAGACTTGGCTTTGCATAGCTGTTCCACTACTGCACGTGGGTGACCTCCATAAGTCATCTGGATGGAGTGATGGTAAAAGGGCTGAGTGTGAAACCACGCAAGGCCTCAGATCTGCCACCTACCACTTATGTCATCGTGGGCAAGTGCCTTAACTGTGCTGGTTCTCACTTTCTTCATCTATAAAATGTGGGGTTGGAATAGATTACCTCCAAGGTCCCCTCTAAATCTGTTATACTATGACCTTTCTGGATTTCATTTTTCTCATCCATAAAATTAGGTGGTTGGACTTTTGGACAGACACAGATTTTTTTTAAATCAGAGGGATAAATCCATTTTATTTATTTTTGCTCTGAACCCCAAAGGTTCAGAATCTGAAGGAAATTAAACCAAAGCTAAAAATTATTTAAAAATTGAACAGATGACAATAGTAGAACTATACTTCAGGCTAATGATATTCACTGTTTTTAGACCCTATGCTATGATTTTATGTGAGCGCAAGAATGCTGGTGTGACCCACAGTTCTCCCCATTCAGGGCATACCCTCCTAGCCTTCTGCATTCACCACCAGGTTGCTCTCCTCAGAACCTCTCCATCATGTCCCCATTTCTTCTCCCCTCTCACTTTCACCTTCCCTTCCTGTGTTATCTTCTTTTAGAACGTAACCTCCTTGAGGGGGAGAAGTCATCTTTCTCTTTTATACTTGTAGTCCCAGTATTTAGCACAGCATCTGACCCATAGTAGACATTTAATGTTTGTTGATTATTGACTGATTGATTGACTGATCTTCTCCTCCAAATAATCTGCTCTAGTTCCTGACTCCAGAACTCATCCTATGTTCCCCTAGATTTCATTCGAAGTCTTGACTGTGGCTCCCCCAGTTTTCCACTGCAGCCCAGAGGCTTGGAACCAGACCCAACGGAAGGCAGCCATGTGCTACATACAGGCAAGGATTAAACATTGTGCTCCCCTTCTCAACCTCACAGCCCCTCAGTATGTGAACAATGCGGTGCCTGTGGATTACTGCTCAGCAAAAGCTTTCAGCTTTCCTCAGAGACACAGCTACATCTAGGAGGCCATTGCAGGAGTTAAAACATTCTCTAAAGGCCAGTCACTATTATTATTACCTTATTGGTCTGGCCCTGTGCCTCCTGTGGTATCAGGAGCTGCCTAGAGAGGAAATGGCCTCTACCAACATATATCAGGACCTCAGGATCTAAAATCCAGAGACAGAAGAGACTCCAGAGGCCATCTGGTCGAGCCCTCTCATTTTACAGAAGAAACTGAGGTCAATGGAGCTTAACTTGCCCAAAGTTTCATGGGGAGTAAGCATCAAAGGCAGGATTTGAACCCAGGTCTTTTGGCTCTAGAGTCAGTGTTCTTTCCATTGTGTCACACAGCCTATGGCCTTGGAAGTGTTGTCTAGGTCCCTGAGAAGTTAAAGGACTTGTCCACAGTCATACAGCCAGTGTGTCAAAGGCAGCCCTTGAAAACCTGCGTAGCCTGTGTGACTCCAAACCAAGTTGTCTGTCTACCTTCCCATGCTATCCATCATCATCATCATCATCATCATCATCATCATCTGCTTTATCATAATTATTATTATGACCCCAGAATAAGCGCCTACATGCTAAAGAGTACAGGATTGCTTGGCATTACGCGTGGCCTTTTAGGGAGTCACCTTAAAAAGCAGCCCTTACGGCTGCCCTCGTGGCCCCTGAACCAGGATCAATGAAGATAAGTTGCAAAGATGAAAATTTAGCATGAATGTAAGGGAAAAACTTCCTAATGATTCAAGGAGTCCAAAAGGGAAGTGAGAAGCTCCCTTCCTGAACATCTTCAAGGAAAGGCTGGGTCATCCCTCGCCCATGATGTTAATCTTGGGTTATGGGCATTTTGGAGAGAGATTCTTTGCCTGCTTCTGACCAACCACGTGTGTGGTTCTTCACACACACGCGGTTGGTTGGGACTTGGTGCTTTGGTGCTTTGGTATGACATGGCCAACCCTGGGTAGCCTCTTGGTCTTCCCCCTGCCCCATGACAGTGGCAAGGGTAAGGTGTTAGGGAAAATAAAGAGAGTTTCCTTCTGTTTCTGTCTCTTCCTTCTAGTCTCCCTTCTCTCTTAGCCTCTGGGTGCCTTTTCCATCTTGTGTGAATAGGTCACCATCATTGTTCTCAAGATGGACATGGCCAGACTTAACACTTGACCTGATGGACCTAAGACCTGTCTTACCTTCATGGTCACCTTTAAGCTTGGACATGTCCATCTTGAGAACAATGATGGCGACTTATTCACAAAAGGAAATATGAGATGGAAAAGGCCCCCCGACTGGAGTCAGAGGATCTGAGCTCAAATCCTACCTTTGACACTTCATACTTAGTCGGTAAGTCACCTCATCTCTCTGGACCTTAGTTTGCTTATTTGTAAACAAAGATCTGTGGTTTTATAAACCCAATTTGCTTATTTGTAAACAAAGATCTATGAGTTTATAAACTCACTATTCTTGACCCAAATGGCTTTTGGTCTTAAGGTTGATGATCAGTGCCCTGTCTATTTGGCAGAGAGGGCAAGGCAGCATGACCAGGTACCATGCTCTTATCAGAGCAATTTTGACTCATTTCAGAAGTGAAGAAGCAAGTGCTAAAGTTTTCTAATGAACCCAGAAGCCATTTTTCTAAAACACCAAATCATTCTTCTGGTATGGCCTCAACTCCAAGGACCATGTTTTTCCCCTCCAAAATAAATTATGCTAATGCTACTGTCTGAAGCAGTCAGATTGGCAACGCCATCTGAGAGAGTGGCTGGGGGAACATGGCCCAGAGGCTGATGGTTCACTTGACCCACATTGAAAATTGCAGATTTGGAGGCAAAGCTGTTGCTGATGATTTCCTGGCCAAATAAGTGTGAGGAGGAGTGAGAGAAAGAGGACAGAATCTGTGTAGGCTGTTCCTGTCTGGAGAGAGACTACTAAAGAGTGAGCTCATTTCTTACATGCTTAAAGACATTTAAAAGGAAGGTAGCGGTGATTGAGTGGGGCAGTGTGTGTGTATGTGTGTGTGTGTGTGTGTGTGTGTGCAGGTGAACACATGCACACGTGTGTACGTGTGTGTGTTGTTTTTTTAACACTGAAAATGATTGCCTAGCAATTTGTCCTTACATTGCATGATGCCATTATGATTTCTACCTGCTGCAGATAAACACCAATATAACAATTTCTTTGGAAATGAAAGAAATAACAAAATGAAGTTTTTCCTCAGTATGAATTCACACCAGACTTCTAAGATGAGGACTACCAAAGATACATATGCACTTATTAAAAGAAAATATATCTCTGTATTCACATATACCCATATGTATATGCATATGTGTATATATGTGTATATATATATTATATATTATACACACATATATGTACCTATATAAATATGTGTATATATACATATACACCGGCTCCTATGATGGTGTTCTATCACAAATGTGTTGAATTTCAAGTATCAATCCAGTCGATTGACCATAAGTCAACAAGGGAAAGCAGCCCCTGCATGGTACATCTGAGAGACATGACAAAAATGGCGTGTACTCAGAAATGCTTCCCCCACTGACCTGCCACTGAACCAGAAATCAGCAGCATTTAAGACATTCAGGCTCCCGGAGGCCCTGTTGAAAGATTGTTCCTGGAAGAGGTAAAGGAGATAAGCAGCTGGTGACGTTGGGGAGCATCGCATCCTGCGTTTAGGTTTGTCAGTTGGACTTTCAAGAGATTTATTCCTGGCTCAGAAAAACCTCCCTTTGGGTACACTGCCATCAGAAAGCAGTGATTCTTTAGCCATAATTCCATGATTAAAAGAACAGGCTTATGCTATAAGCATGATTGACCTAAAGATATTTGGATATAGCTGTCAATTTTATATATTCACATTATGGATTAAATAGAATCTTGTGGTTTAACTTGGGTACTTCATCATTATGGTGGCATGATGAAGCAGACAAAGAAAAAAAAAGAACTCATGTTTGACCTTAAAGGACCTGTATTTAAGTCCTGCCTTTCCTCCTTAGTAGCTGTGTGACTTTGGCTACCCTCCTTATCCCCTCTGGGCTTTAGTTTCTTCATTTGTAAAATGTGGGGAGGGGAGGAGGAAAGACTAGATGACTATTAATAGGTGACCCCTAACAGTTCTAAATCTAATACCCTATGATGAAATATCAATTCAGTATGAAAATGTATTCAGAATTCCAAAGACCCAACTTAAAAGTTAAATTTTGGAACATAACTTATTTGTAAACTGGGAACTATTTGTAGGGTTTGGGATTTTTTTTGAGTTTTCAAGAAATTACCACGGTATAGTTTGACAACTTTAACACTAATTCTTATCTTTAATTAACCACAGTAAAACTGAACCTGGTCATGGCCACAGAAGTGATTTGAATGTCTCCAGATTCCCCCTTGCACTTTCTCTTGAAGTCAGAGCTGTGAAGTATTTTCAGGAACCCCAGGACTTCAGTCCAAGTTGACTTCAAAGGCCTTTGTGCAATCTCACACTTGATAGCTAGAAAAGTCCTTAATGAGGTCTCTCTAATTGCCATGAATGATCTTACTCAGTGGGTGGTGCTCAGTATCCCAGCTATCTATTTCCTGATTTTTTTTCCAGCTACTGCCCAAAGAAGAAATGGCCAAAAAAGAAGAAAAAATACATCTCTCTCATTCCCTAATCCTAGTTTTCCAGGTCTTCAATGCACTCAAGAGGTTGTTGTTGTTCAGTTGCATCTGACTCCTAGTGATCCCATGTGGGGTTTTCTTGGCAAAGATAGAGTGGTTTGCCATTTCCTTCTCCAGTTCATTTTACAAATGAGGAAACTGAGGCAAACAGGGTTAAGTGACTTGTCCAGGGTCACACAGCTAGTAAGTATCTTGATTTGAACTCAGGCCTTCCTGACCCATGCCTGGCACTCTATCCACTGTAGTACCTAGCTGCCCTCATTCAAGAGGAGGAGGAAGTATAAACAGGGCACATAATGTGGTCTCCTTATCAACAGCATGAACTGATCTGAATGTCTTATGTTCATTTCACATGCCTTAGTTTACTCTTCCAAAACTTAGGTTAGACCTGAGACCTGAGAGTCCCTTCCATCTGGCTGAAGACGAAAACTATAGTCACATTTGGTGTCACTCTATTGAAAAAAAAGAAAAGCCTGTGTGTCAGGTGTGTTGTAGAGAGGATGCTCATTAAGATATAGATGAAACTAGATGGCCTCTGAGGTGAACTGAAACTCCATGAAGATGTGAGGAATTATTCCCGATGAGAAAGGAGTGATCTTTCACTCACGAAGGAGGAAGAAATCTTCTCTTTCCCAGTAGGAATCTTCAGCATAATTTCCAGAGAGCTGCTAACATGGATTGGAATCTAATATTTTATTAGCTTTCTCTAGTTACTAACAATTCTATAAGAGAAATTTTTGGGTTTGATTTCCAAAAAGAGGGTTCATCTTTCCCATAAAAGCATTAAGTTTTGAATATTTTTCTTTTTTTCGTTTTTAATTTATTTAGTATCTTATTTTCCCCAGTTACATGTAAAAACAATTTTTGACATTCGCTGTTAAAACTTTGAATTTCAAATTCTCTCCCTTCCTCCCTCCACACACCTCTTCATTGAGAAGGCAAGCAATTCAATATAGGTTATATATGTGTAGTCATGCAAAACATATCCATATTAGTCATCTTGTGAAAGAAAACAGACCAAAAAAAAAAACCTCAAGAAAAATGAAGTTTAAAAAAAGTATGCTCGAATCTGTATTCAGACACCACCAGCTCTTTGTCTGGAGATGGATAGCATTTTTCATCATAAGTCCTTCAGGGTTGTCTTGGACTGTTGCATTCTTGAGAATAGCTAAGTCATTCATAGCTTATCATCATACAATATTGCTGTTACTTTGTACACAGTACTATTCACTTTGCATCAGCCCATGCAAGTCTTTCCAGGTTTTTCTGAGAGCATCCTGCTTATCATTTCTTATGGCACAATAGTTTGAATATTTTTAAATAGAAAGCATAAGAAACTCTTTTTAAAGAGTTAAAGTAATTTTATGACATACCCAATATACAACTAACAAATACACAATCTTATTTTCTTTCCTGTTACAGTAGGTTGTATCTACACCCTCCAAAACCCAAGTAGAACGTTAGCTCCTTGAGGACAGGTGCTGTTTTGTCTCTTTGTCCTGTGTATACATAGGCACTTAACAATTAGGTATTGAATGGATTACTTCAGATATTTTAACTCACCAGTTTTCTGTAGATAAGTTTTGCTGACTTCCCAATTTTGCTTGGAAGCATTATTAGATGCTGGGTTTTTTTTTTACTAAAGAAGATATAAAAGCTTCTAGAAGTCAAGACTGTCATTGAAAACAGGCTGTGTACTCCTCCCTCGGCTTTCTTTGCAGAGATGGAAGGCTGAGTGTAGAATACTGCATATGTTAGGGTTTTGCAGTGTGCTGGCTGGTTTTCTAGAGCTGGCTTTTTCCTTCCTTTTTATTCTTTGTTAGAAACAATGACTCACAAAGGAGGAATATGTATGGACATATTTGGAAATGTAGATGATGTCAAAACAAGAGATGTGAAAAATAAAAATTTTTAAACCCCTGTGTGGTGGTATCTTTATAAAGTTCAAGTTCATGTTTTTTTAAGAGAGGTACTTACAAGATCATTCATTTTTGAGATAAATGGGAGTAGTCTGACTGAAATGTGAAAGAGCCTTGACCAGTCTTAATTACCGTGTTTTACATGTCTTCCAGTTAAATCCCAGATTCTAAGGTTTGGGAGGTAGCTCAGTGGCTTCAAACTGATGTCTGCAAAATACTATCCATTCCATATTAGGCAAGAAGCTTGCCTTTGCTCATCGACTTCTAGTGAGGAGAAGCTCACTTGCCATAATATGAGATAGAATGGAATTCTGCCACTTCGGGACAGCTCTCATTTTTAGGAAGTTCTTCCTGAAGTGAAAGCTAAATCTGCCTTTTTGCCACTTGCCCCCACTGCTCCTTGTTCTGGCCTTTGGGGCCAATCAGACCAAGGCTAGTCCCTCCTTTAAGCTTAATTCCTTGGCAATCCTTGAAATACAGTTATCAGAGTCCATGAGCAACTCTTACATCTGAGCTAACTTTCTTCTGACACCAAGGACTGTGTCCCATATCAGCATCCCCCTCCACTCCCATCAATGCCTCCCCTCTCCTCCTCATTTTCCAGCCATTGTGTACTCAGAAAATGCAGACTAGTTTTTATATTAAACAAAGGAAAACATAGCTAGGAAGGTAAATCTTCTGAAGAAAAGATAATCAAATACATGACTAAGCCAAATAGAAATGACTTTTCAATTATTTGCTCTTGCAAAATATCCCTTCTATGAGACCAAATAAGCAGGTGTTGGTTATAGGCATTTCAGTGGAGGGAAATTATCCTGATAATCCATTGAGGTGCCCTTTAAAACCTTCCCCAAGACACTGCACAGCATATCTCCTATTATGTCTCTCCTGGCCCTTTTTGAAATTTCAGTGTATTCCTTATGAGTAAAAGATACTAGCAGAAGCAGCATAGGATGGAGGGAGAAGTGCTGCGTTCTAAGTCAAGAGAGCTCTGGGTTCAAAGTCAACTCAGGCAATAGTTGTGTGACCACAAGCTAAGTCCCTTAGTACTCCTCAGTCTCCTCATCTGTAAACTGAGGATAATAAGAAAGGGGGAACAAAGACTTATAAAGAGCCTACTATGTTCCAGGCACTGTCCTAAGAACTTTATAAATATTAACTCATTTGATCCCTATGGTGGTGGTGGTTGGCCTTCATTCTCGAAGAAGACCAAAATGGCATCATTATGTCAGGCCAAGGTGCAGTGTGTCCAACTGTGTCTGATCAGACCAATATGAGCTTGGAAGGTTCTACCACAGGTAGGTCAGGCACAAATAGTCCATGTGAACATTTGGAGATGTCTCTAAATTTGCATATCTCATGTTTCTATCTCATTTTGTCCTCATAATGACCTGGGAAGGTAGATGCTGTTATTATACCAACTTTGCAGTTGAGAAAATGGAGGCAGTCAGAGGTTAAGTGACTTGCCCAAGGTAATAGAACTAGTGAATGTCTGAGGCCAGATTGGAACTTTTAGGTTCCAGAACAGATCTTTTAGGAGATTTACAAGCTAAACATTATTTTCATAAGAATACTAAAATGCTATTTGCCTATTAAAACACCCCTCCTTTCCCAATCTGTGTCCAGTCAGATATTCTTCACATACTTCAAAGAAAACAGCATATCACAACACATTGAATGTAGAAGCAGATACAACATCCAGTTGTCTTCTATTTACTCAGACATTAAAGAGATTGCAAAAATATTCAAAACAATGTGGTCATGCCATTCTTCTTACTAATTTTTATGGCTATTTTTTCATAAAACATACTATTCAAGCTAATGTACAATAAATTTATTTTCATTGTTTTTAATCAATTCATAATTTTTAAAAATGTATCAGTTTTAATTTCTAAGATGGTAGGTATTAATAGTTATGGTAGGCTACATGGACAAAAGATTTTGGGGATCCTCAATAGTTTTAAGAGTGTAAAGGGGTCCTAACACCAAAAAGCTTGAGAACTGCTGGTCTAAATAATGGTTAAAGTCCTTCATACCTCTACAGTGATGATCTTTAAATCTTAGAGGATGGTCTGAAGTGTAGAGAGAT